TGTTGTTTTTGTGGGTGGCTTAGAAGAGGATCGGTTTTTTTCCATCTTAACCTGGTTCTTTCGCAGTAGTATTTTCCTGGGTGACCGAGAATGCACGATTCCCCCCCCCCCCCAAAAAAAGAGATGTATCCCAAAGTGTGATGGACATTGTGTACCGTAGCGTGTGTGTGTGTCTCGCTATTTCCATCACAATTGGCAGCGGTCCACAGAGAGTGTGCGTGTGTGTATGTGTGTGTGTGTGTACCATCCAAGTGGGGAGCGGTGGCGTAGCGGGTAGCGCTACGTTGCGTTTCGAACCCGGCTACCCGAGTTCGATTCCCGCCTACGGCCAACAACAGTGACGATTATCTGAACCGGTCCTGGGCCTCCCCTAGGTCGGCTCGGCCTCAAATGAGTACCTGGTGCGGTGTATAGTAAACATCCCCACATGGGAGACAAAGGCGGTCGGGCGTGGAGCTGGGCCACTCACCCCCTCGTGTACCTTTCCAGCCTTCATAGGTAATCGCTAACAGCACTTGCCCCAACGGTCTAAGGCTATACGGGGGGATCTTTGTCTTTGTTGTACCATCCAGGGCTAAGTCAATAAAGAGTGCATTGTCTGCAGGCGATGAGAAGTATAGATTTGCGCTGTTCAGCAGAGGAAGAAAAACCGCGGTACGGCTGTATGAACACCCTTTGAGTTCTTCATGTTTTTGGTTAACCTTTATTTGGTGTGCAGCAGCAGCATTAGCATCATCATCATCATCACACCGCTTCGTGTGATTATAGCGATTCAACGTGTTTCGCTATGCTACAGGCCGCAACGTGATTAAAAATGAGTTCATGGGCTTGTCAAGCGGTTTTTCTTGTGGCGGGCAACACGTTTGTTAATTAATTGGTTAATTCGTCACAGCCAGTAAATGAATGCAACGTGTCAATGTACTCCGACGGATCGTTGTGCGCTTTTCACGAATCCTGAAATATTAATTGCCTCGAGCACAAACACAGGTCCCTGCAGGGTGGGCTGGTAGGAACATTGGAATTTTGCGCAATTTTATTTTTACACCCCAACAGCACGAGATTTCACTTCGTTAAAGTATTGAAAGGGGACGGACGGACACATTAATCTATTGCAGGCTGGTACACTCAGTTTACAACTTCGTTCCTACCAGTATAACTTTGCTTTAAAATCCAACAAAAAAGGCATTAAGAGTAATGCGTCACCTTAGTTTGCTTGCTTATGGAGGCTGTTACCGCATTAATAATTATTCATTTCAAATGCACGACTATAACCTTTCACTTTACCAACACGTGCGTAACTTTAAACGCATATTGGAAGGTAATCAAAGAGACCGCTTCATTAAATATATTCCTATTTTGAAAGGCAATGATCGACAGCTCTTCGCCATCCGCATGCCCTGTCGGTCATGGGAGCTGTTTGACCAAACTTCACATCGCTGCTCACCGTAGGACAGCACAGCACCGGTCGATGTCGATCTCACTCGTGGTTGGGAGTCAAACTTAGATAATCAGATTCATAGAGAAGTGCTCTAATAACAATGCCCCCCCCCCCCCCCATTATTAATTTGCGTTATTTAAAAATAAAACAAGTGGTTGAACCGCATCTGCACTATAGATTATTGAAGTGATTGCAATGGCATTGATGTGCTTTACCAAATGGAACTTTGATCTTCTGGTGGTAATAATTAACAAGATACCGGGGATGACAGCTGACGGAATGTGAAGCTGATTTAATGTTGCATTAAGCAGTCACGGGCAGTATCGTCATGCATAAAGGGCTGCCTGTTCCTTCTGCAATCCTTCCTGTAACTTTAAACGGAAGAGACATCAGAGCCTCGGCAGAGAAATGTAACGCGGCTCACAAGGCTAATATTGTTGGGTAGTATTTTCACAACGAGTCGGGCGTGCTCCGATTACAGACACTGTCTTATTCTAAGAGGCTGTACATTCCAAAGCTACTTGGAGGTATGACTTATAATGAGATGAGACGTCCTCGGTATTAATGGCAAATCCGTGAGCCATGTCACGTGTGCCTCACTTCATGTGTGTTAGCCCTTTTCTTTCCGTGCACTTTTGAGTTTCACCAGTGCATAACGTACACTCGTATGAGCTACCAATAGACCACAGTGCATTCTTGTTTTCGTCCAAATATGAACCTTAATTCGAAACCAAATGAAATTTGTCTGTTAAGAGACACATTTAGTCTCACGAAATGTGTATTTTTCTCCGGTCATTGGTAGACTGGAGTAGGCACGTGACTCGTAACCGCAAATTGCTCACTGAATGTTTTTTTGCTGGGTCACTGATAGACTCGAACAGGAGGCACGTGACTAGTGAGCCACAGCCATTGCAATAGATGCAATGGATGTGGTGTGCCAAGTACAAAGATGTGTTTGTGAGTCGCTGATCTAGACGGACGCGGCTGAAATGAACCCTGGTCTGACCTATCTTGTGTACTGCCCTCTTAGTGTAGTTGTATTATTATGTTTCCTCCAGCGCTGGGGGGAAAAAAATTGGACAAACATTCCATAGCGTCTTGGGTCTCAATGAGGCTTTCCTGGGTAATGTAAAATATATTTTGGGAATTGTCATAAACAAATTCAAGTGGAATATTTGTAGAAGTTTTTTTTTAATGCTATCTGGTCAGAATTTTAAAGCGGTCCAACATTAATATTATCTCGTCCCTGAAATTTTCACTGCACTGCCAATATTTGTTTTTATATTCTCGAAATCGTTTCTGAAATAATTTTCTCTCTTGTTTGTGTTCAAAATTCTGAGCACTCGAATTCATTACGACAGTTGACTGGGGCGACGGGATACCGAGCAGCAGCGTAATTCTCTCTTGACATGTTTCATGTATAAGCCATGCATGAGTCAAGCAAGGCAAAACAGGCATTTACAACGTCCTTTACTTCTCATTGGTTAGGACGATCTATGACTTACGGTTATCATGGAACCAGTCAAAATCTACGTTTTAAATTTGCTGGTGTGTGTGCAGGATGAAAATTCGTTATTTCATGCACTCACCTTTGCAACATTACGGTAGTTGAATTCCCATAAAGTAAATATTTGTGTTATTTTTAAACCACAACGACAAAGATCCTCCTTAAAGGCTTACCAGACTGTTGGGGCAAGTGCTGTTAGCGAGCACCTTTGAAGGCCGACACTGCACGCGAGGGGGTAGGTGGCCAGCACCACGCCCGGCCGCCTTTGTCTCCCTAGTGGCGATATTGAGACACCACACCAGGTACTCAGTTGAGGCGGAGTCGACCTAGGGGAGGCCCAGCACCGGTTCAGATAATCGTCACCGGTGTTGGCTGTGAGTGGAAATGGTACTTGGGTCACCGGGTTCGTAGCGCAGCGCGCTAACCCACACACACATGCAACCAATCACTGGTTTACATTCTCATTTTATCCCAGCTGTCAAATTAAGTATATTCAGTACATGTCATAAACTCACATTATTTCCCTTCAATATTGTGTTATTTTAAAGATGGTTTCCGCGGTTGCGTTGTACAGCTCTCCGATGCGTTAGCGACTCGTATCGCATGTTGTCCAGCACCATGTTTGACGTTTCGCTCCACGTTCTGTGATCTTCAAGGAACAGGACGTCTAGCGAAACGTCGGGCATCATGCTGAACACGACGCGGTACAACGTGAAAATGCAGCGGATGGCGATTTCAGAACCCTATACTTTTCACCCTACTTTTTTGGTCACCACGTGAGGATGGGAACCTTCTTGTATGTATGTGTGTATGTTGAACTTATTTCGCACAGTACGTAGCCAACCGTGCGCGAATCAGAGGTGCGGATGTGCTCTTCCCGATATGATGATCAGCATGGGCGTGCAGGACTTTGCCACTAGAGGTCACCTACCCACAAAAAAATTATTTGATCGAGACGAAAATCTTTTGGCAAGTCGAGCAGCTTGCCTTGAGGCCCATGATGTGTTTAGCTCACAATAACAACACTGCTGTGTGCATCCATCCATCAACACCAGCTGCAGTCAAAACATGTTTATGTTACAGACTCACGCTGCCGTGCTCATCTCTGCACGGACGGTTGCGGACAACTCGCTAGGCGGTGTCGCTTTCTCAAAGAAATCCCGTTCCTGGGAAAAGTTTTCTCTTATTCATTGGCGTGGTGGTGGTGGTGGCTTATAGAACGGTCGTGGCGAGACGATTCATCAGTAATAAAGGAGGAATTTCTACGACTGTAGGTTTTTCCCGGTTGTGCCGTACAGCTCTCTCCGACGTGGGTTTCTGGATTGTCTCCGCGTGTTGCTCGACACGATGCCCGCGCGAGACGCTTCGCCACCACGTGCTCGGAAACTTCTTCGGGTTCCTGAAGGGGCTCCCGTGGCATGGGGAGACCTCGGGAGGGCCGGGCGTTCACATGCCGGCCGTGACGATCGTCAGGGCTAGTCGGTCAAAATCGCCTCGACAATTGAAGCAATTGGCGTGACCCCGGGGTCCCATCACTGCCCCGGGGTGGGAAAACCCGTGTAGCGACACGAGTCTTGCTGCCTTACCGACAACAACAAAACTAGTGGTCAATCGATCGGCCTCGTCGAGAGCTACTCGGGGCACTAAGTTTCATAAAAAGTTGATTACATAAACACGTTAAATTCACCGCCTGGGGGTGAGGGGGCGGCGGGCTCGCCTTGGCAAAGAAGCTGAGGATCGACGGATGACCGGAGGGCGTCGTCGCCGCGCACGACTGCGGCTGATGCCCCCCGGGGCTCGCGTTTGCCCGGTGGGGTGGCGCCCATCGTGTTGATCGCCGCCTGCTGGTGCTTGTTGGTGCTTGTTGGCGTCAGTCTGGGCGGGCGGCGCGTTGCTGTCGGGATCACGAGTGGGGGGGGGGGACTGAAAAATAATAATTATTGACCTGACTTTTGCGGGACCCCGGGGTCCCTCCAAATGATTCAAATGCCGCTTGCTGCTCCGTTCCGTCGCCAACATTCGTGGGGGCCCTTTCCTGGTCGTGCGCGTGAGCAGTCAGGTCTCTGAGCCTGATGGGGGAGCAGACTGGGCTGATCAAGATGAAGGGGCAGCCGAAGGAGGGGGACGCCGTGCGCTCGGGATGGCTCAAGAAGCAGGGCGGCTTCGTGAAGACATGGCACACGCGCTGGTTCGTCCTCCGCCGGGGACAGCTCTTCTACTACAAAAACGACGAGGAGGCCAAGGAGCAGGTGAACTCCCAAAGAAATACTCGGTTGCCCAAAGGCTGGCGTGGGCGATGCACTGGTTTATGTACATCTATGGGACCTTTTGTGCCAGTATGAAAGTGATGAAAAAATAAGAATAGGTTTGAGCCTTGCTGGCAATAGAAACAGGAGGTGTTAAGATGTTCAAAGACCTAAATAGAAACCTTTTGCAAGGCATAAAGAACTGCATTAACCACATGTCCTTGCGGCAAAACATGCTCTGTATGTTCTTTGACCTTTTTTCGCAACGCACGTAGCCAAACCACGCTAATCGGAGGCGCGGGGGAAGGACGACAAGCCAAACACAAAAAGCAGTTCCAAAGAAATGAGTTTTCAATCTAGTTGGCTTCAAAGTGCATAGCTTCAGAGGCTTGCTAAAGCCGGAAGGAAGAGACGTTCCAGACGGCCGCAGAAGCGCATCTGAAAGCGCCACGCGATGTTGGTCAGGCAGTTTGATTGATTAATGGTCCTGCACTTACCGATTCATTGTAAACAAGCTCCACTCTCGCTTGTCGTTCGGTCGCTTTCTTGTCACTCCGTTATCGCCGCTACAATCGTTGTTGTTCTCGTGAATTTAACGTCTCGATATCACTGCCGCTTTCGGTGACCTGATTGACCCGACTGGCCGTTTCTCTCATCCGCACCGTGTTCAGCCGCCGCATTGTGGGACCCAACATTTAATTCCCACTTCTTTCCCTTGCACTGCTCGACTTTGAAGCTCCCTCCACTGTTCTCTTTGTTCCAAGTTCTTATAACCCTGCTCCAGGAAAGAAACATGTTAATTATTACACTCTGTGCCCTCGTTAGCGTTCTTTGGGTGATTTGCATTAGAGGGCCTGCTATATTCTGTAACATTTGTTGATAAACTTTTATATCATTGTAGGGTATTGCTGAATAGAATACATTCTGTGTTCAGGCAGAGCTTCGTGGGTGTATAGAAGGATCCAATAATCTTTGGGTGGGGAGAGGGTGGTGCTGTGTTTGGTGCAATGTACTTATGAAACCGAGTTTTGATTCCCGGCCACAATTAACATAATTGGCGAGTGCTAACCGAATTGGTCCTAGCCCCCCAACTCTCCTCGAATCCACACTGACCAGCATAGTGAAGTTTGATTTAAAAAAAAAAAGTATTCCCACGACTGATACGGCATTCATTCAGGTTGTAAGTTGTCACTATTATTATTATTGAGAGTTATTATGTTTCTAACAATGTGCTCCGGAATGATGGCGAGCGCAACTTTTGTTAAATGTGTCTTTCTTTTGTGTGTCTCGGTCATCTAGGGAGCCATCCCACTGTTTGGGAACAGAGTGAATTCCCTCGTGACCGGTGCTGAAGAACAGGGGAAGCACCTGTTCGAGATCCTCCCAGGCAAGGGTGACGCTCCCTCACATCCTCACACAATATCAGAGGCAGCGGCGGGGAGTTGCACAGGCTGACCAACGGTTCATTCATAATACAGGTGTTTTTTTTTAATAACACAAACTAATAGCACTAAATGTTCGTCCAATAGCGTTGCCTTAAAAAAAATACCACAGGTACCGTTATTGAGCAACGGCTCTTCTGCGTAGAACATGAATATATATTCACGTAAATGAACAAGCAGTGCTTCGACAAAGAAGTGCCGTTTAAAGAAGAGCCAGTGCCCAGAACATCGGCCAATATATATTATACGTATAACCTGTTACACATCTGCCCTTCGAAGGCAGTGATTGTTGACGAATGTGTCACGGTTTTATGTTATTCGTGGTTTTGCACCACTGCCAATAGCAGTATTACCTCACAACAGGGTTCATTACCAAGGTATATTACGAGCATTCATGAAGGACACGGACCTTGTGCAATGCGCGGCAATTTAACGATGCACATTGATTGCCCAGGAAAAATAAAACTTCATTGAGTCTTAACGCTATCTTTCAGGCGGGTCCTGCTACATTGGGATGTTTGTAACTTGGGATAAAACCCATAACATCCGGTGCCACTCTATACTGCCATGTCCTGCCACAACCTCGTAGCCCAAAAACCTACAACACCCGGCAAGCCATTGGTGGTCACCCATCCAAGTGATAACCAGGCTCAAACCCGCTTAGCTCTCAATGATATGATGAGAATAATTGATTTGAGGGGAGGGGAGGGGAGGAAAATAAACTCTACAGATGTTCAAACTCCTGAATGTCTCCGTATTTTATTCTGTACAGTGCTGGGCATTAGGGAATGTTCTGCAGACTGCTTCTTTAGGCCAAGCTAATGTTTAGAGTCTCATTTAGAAAGAAAAAAAAGCTTCCATTTTGTATTCCAGTGTTTGACTTAACATTTTGAATAGATCGTTTCCTGCTGCTGTATTTTACAGCTGTTTACCATTGCACATAGTGGTTGTTGTAGTTTTAAAGAATCACATTTGGCCTTTGATGCGTGGATAATGGCAGCTGTTATTTATACATTTCAGTCCTTAGCCATGTTTGTACATAATTCACGGCTGAACCGAGGGGAAAGTGTTGAGCAGTGTGTTCTCACGCTACACTACGAACCCGGCAATCCCGAGATCGACTCCCGGCCACGGGCTAACATCAGTGGCGAGTCATATGTGAATCCATTCCAGTCTCCTCTGCCCGCCACCCCCCACCGTTCCTTTGTCAACAAAACCGAACTGTTCAGTGTGGTGAAGTATGCTCAAGCAATCCCCAAATACTGATGAGGCATGCAGAGGATTTTGTCCGGAAGTGGATTTACAAAGATCTGTAAATAGTTAATGATTGATCAATCATAAGTGATTATAACTGTGGTGCATCAGAGGTGTTAATGTTACATTGATGCCCCAACTAATATTGATCCTTAAGCACACGTCACGTGCATCGAATTGCTCGTGTGAGTATCGATATTTGTAAAAGTTCTGCAGACAGTCTTAACGGGCTCATGTGAGCCCCTCTTTCCCACAGCCGCTACATTCACCGCTCTGTTTAAAGAAATAATTATTGGATCAAATCTCGATCCTGAATTTCGGGATTTCATCGAATCGCGAGGCATCTAATCGACACACCTAGTGGCGGTGTGACACACGTCTGTCATTCAGGGAAACGAGGTGGCAGGGTTTGTCGGATCACACAGTGACACACAACGCGCAGGGAGATATTCTACCTCCGAGGTTGTTTTAGTTTTTGTTTCGTGACCGGTCGGTGCAGACTGTGACTTGGTTATCCCCCTCGCTACTTCGTGTGTTTTCTTCGGGGCATTTCAGTCAGAAGACAGGATCCTCCTGAAGGAGAGGCGAGGGATTCAGTGAGGCCTTTCTTGAGTAAGCAAACAATAAATCAACATAGCGATTTCAGTTCAGTGTTCTCTCAGCTGTGACCACCAGCCGTTGTAGTCGCCGCAGCAGAGAGCACACACACGCACACGCACGTATACTGAACCCACAACAGTCACATACACAAATGCACACGGAACACACGTGCATCCATGCACACACCACACATGTACACATACAAAGACATATCCTCGTGTAGCCTTAACAGACTGTAGGGGCAAGTGAAGGCCGGCACAGCACACGAGGGGGTGGGTGGCCAACACCACGCCCGACCGCCTTTGTCTCCCCAGTGGCGATGTTTACACATCGCACCAGGTACTCATTTGAGGCTGAGTCGACCTAGGGGAGGCCCAGGGCCGTTTCAGATAATCGTTACAGATGTTGGCCGTGAGCGGGAATCGAACTCGGGTCGTCGGGTCCATAGCGCAGCGCGCTAACCGCTACGCCACCACTCCCCGCATACACACGCACGCACGCACGCACACGTGTGTAGCAAACATTAATAAGGGCAAAGCTGCGTCTGTCTGGCGCAGCTGGGATCAAGAAACACGCTTATAGTATCGTTTTTTTTTCGGTTAGATCGCGTAAATATAAATATGTCGTTAAACCCGCCACCACCCGACACAGCCAATTAGTAAGGTTTGTCACGTGCACAGCACGTGGCAATTTCGTTGCTGGTACAGCACGAGCCGGTGTGTGCCGACGAGCAAATCCACAACAACGTTGCCGGTGGCGAAGCACCCAAGTGTTGAGGGGGGCAAGCCAGGCTCCCGTGCTTGAGCGACGGGCGCGATTGATCCGCGCAATTGCATTGAACTCTGATTAACGAGCCCCTCCTCCTCGTGCGCGTAACGGAGAAAGTGATTGCGGGTCCCCGTTTGTCTCGCGCGTCCGCCGACACGGGGGTGGGAGAGTGGTGCGGCGGTGGGTGGTGGTGCACTGGGAGAGAGAGAGAAGGGGAGGGGGGGGTGAAGAAGGCTGCAAGGCGCTGGGGGCACCGCCGGTTAACGTGCGACGCAGCCAGGCGCTCTTGCGCGGTGCTGCCGGGGTGGTGGCGAAAGGGGGGTGGAAGCGCGGCAGTGGACATTGTTGCCAGGGTTGGGGAAAACTATTTTGGGCGCCTTGAATTTTTTTTGTTTTTAATTGGAACAGAGTTGTCCCCTCTCCCTCCCTCCCCGGGTGTTGGGGGGGGGGATTTTTTTGCACGTCAGTGTCCGTGAATGGGAGCGGGTCGTTGTCGTCGACCGGGGAAGAACAAATTGACCCAGATGCTCGCCAGGATCTCTTTGATCCGAGTGGCCCACCCGACTGCGGGGAAGGAGAGTGTCTCTGCACATGTGCAAATATGAAGAAGCCTTAAAAGTTGCAGCCAAGTGAGAGCTTCCCCCCACCCCCACCCCCGGTCTCTGCCTTCGGTTTGGGTGGCGGGAGAGGGCCCAAGAAACGTCTCAGAGCGCGGGGACTCCTTAGTCGGCCTCCACCGTCACGAGCGTTCGTGGATTGGCGCGCAGGGGTTTTTTTTGTTCAACGTAGGTCGCAACGAGTGAAGCTGCTATGGGATAAACAAACAAACAAATAACTACCAACCCTAAGAAATAGCACAAATAGGCAGAGAGAGAGAGAAAAAAATCTCAAACGAGAAAAAGAGTCTGGCGTTAGCAAGGCGCAGTTTCTTAGACATCGAACGGGGCGACGGGGAGCAACTGCGAGAGAATTCGGAGAAATTGCCGGCGCTGTGATTCATGCTCTGCCCGCTCGCCCGCCCGCCCGCTTTGAGATCAAACCCCGGATTCTCCCATGGACGAGATGGGCGTTGGATGCTTCAAGGCACATTTTGTGGAGCCGAAGAAGCTAGCAGGTAATGCGAGTACCCTGCGCGCTTCAGTTTCCCCTCTCCCCCCCCCCACCCTTCTCTCTCTTTCAACGGCGGCAGAGGAACGTTTCAGTAGCCGGGGGCCACGTGGCTTCTCGAATCAAGGCCAGTACGGTTATTATGACGAGAATCCGGTCGGGCGTCGAGAGCGGCCCCTTGCCAAAGCTTTGTGATATGTACGTAGAGTGAGCGAGTGGTGAGCATGCCAAGCTATGTAGAGTGAGCGAGTGATGGAGCGAGTGGTGAGGATGCCAAGCCAGGACAAGATTGTGTCGTGCGCTTGCCTTGCGGGCTGACATTCCGCGTTTTGATGCAGTTATTATTTCCACCCATTATGCAACGGTAATGATATTCCGTTGTTTGTTTTAATAAACATGTTAGATGATGAGGCGTGGAGTGGCGGTGCAGTGGTTCACGCGCTGCTGCTGTGATCCTAGCGCAACCCGAGTTCAGTTCCTGGAGTGTCGAGTGATTTCGAAACCAGTCTTGGGCCTCTCCCCCCCATGCACCAACCGACGCTGACCAGCGTGGTGAAGTATGGCCAAACAACCCACGGGGAAGCGCTCATCTAGCAGATAATTGACAAAGGGTTGTGATTTGCTATCGGTAGAGACGTTGCAGATAAAATATACGTGTGATTTTTTTTGGTATTGGTCAATATAAATCCATAACGTTAACGGTGGCACTCCTGTTTATAAATATCGATGCGAAAGCGATGCGTCGCAGGCTCCTTCCGCCGTGGCCCCTTCCGTGTCTCCCACCCCGAGTTGTTTTGAGAGGTAAATCCTCACGGGACCTTGCCGACTTGACCGTTCGTGCTTTAAGTGTGACCCATTGATTGGTCACTTGTGAGTCACACGTTTTATCTTTGCCGGGCCACGCCATGGGTGGTGGCACACGGCCGCGTAGTCATCCAGCGCTGTGGGTTATGCAGATTTCGTGAAACTCAACACCGTGGATTCTGCAAGAGTACGGAGCGTGGGTTCGCGAACTTACGTGTGTGAACAATTGATCATTCTCTGTGTTATTCCCCTTTCTTCTCACTTCTCAAAACACTTCTTTATAAATAAATAAATGAAATTGACCGCACGCACGAAGGGCCCTTCTGAAAAAAGAGGCTGTCTAGGCTCGGGGAGACTCAGCGAGGAGAGATAAATTACATTATTCTTATTTATTTATTATCACAGCCGGGGT